TTGTTGTTGTTGTTAAGTGCCGTCGAGTCAGCCCTGACTCATAGCGACCCCTGCTTGGGTTTCCGAGGCAGTATCACTACGGAAGTAGGATTGCCCAACCTTCCTTCCGAGGAGTGGCTGATGGGTTTGAACCGCCAGCCATCTGGTGAGCAGTCAAGTGCCTTAGCCACTATGCCACCAGAGCTCCCTTTTGATGCTATAGGCATTAAAATTATAGTCTTAAAACTCATGAACAAAACTAAAAAGCAAAGAACAAATACTTGTGTGCCTTCTTATAAGACAGAAATATAGATGTTCATGAACATTTGCAAAAGCTTCACTTTCCTTAGTAATAGAAGAAAAAGTGAATTATAACACTGAGATTTTAACTCCACAAATCTAAATGGGAAAAGATAGTGCCAAGTATAGTCATTTTAATTAATATTAGTAGGTATATTTGTGGAATCTTTCTGAGAGGCAATTTGGAAATATTTCTCAAGATACTTCTAAATATTCATATTCTTCACTTAGTAATATTTTTTCTAATAAAGCAATAAGCAATCCAACAAAGATTTATATAAGAAGGATCCTGATTGTAATAAGTATAAAATCTTAAAGTGAAAAACTAGGAACAATTTTAAGGTTCAACAATAGGAGTATGGTTAAATGGTGGTCAAATATTCTTATGCTAGAGTTCTATGTAGCGTAGTGCCTAAGGCACTTGACTGCTACCCAGAAGGCTGGCGGTTCAAACCCACCAGCCACTCCTCAGAAGGAAGGTTGGGCAATCTATTTGTATATGTGAATCTATAGTGATACCGCCTCAGAAACCCAAGGAGGGTTCACTACGAGTCAGGTCTGACTTGATGGCAAATAACAACAACAACAAGAACAACAACAATAAAGAGTGCTATGTACACATTAAATACCATTTATATTTATCAATATGGGTAAATTCTATGTCCTTTAATGTAAAATAAAGTTATACCACTATATACGTAGTACCTCCTACATGCATATATACATAAATTTAGTTAATCTATGTTTAAAGGTGTTCTTGTTAATTGCTGCTGAGTTTCTTCTGACTCATGGTGACCCTACGTGTGCAGGGAAATGCTTCATAGAGTCTTTAAGGCTGCAGCCTTTCAGGAGCAGATTGTCAGGCCAGTTTTCAGAGGTACCACTGGGTAGGTTTGAACCACCAACCTTTTGCCTAGTAGTTGAGCACTGAATCATTTGTGTCATCCAGGGATCCTATTTAAAGATTATTTTATCTTATATTTTTCTGTATTTAAAATTTTTTCTCTGATAAGGATCTGTTACAATGAGGAAGAATTTGTTACTCAGTAACAAATATAATTGCTATGGAGTCTTTAAGCTGCTCCAAATTTATGTTCACTTTCAATATTCCACTTTTCAAAGTTGGAAAGCACCATTTGTAGAGAACTTACTGTATTTATACCCATGTAATAAAGAGAAAAACCAACCATATCAAAACAATGTAGTATTTCATTTTCAAAATTAAGGTGCTTGAATGATATTTTTCTAGTCTAGTGATGGTTTTATAATTAAAAAAATAACTTTACATGTTATGTTTGTAAGGATTGCCCAGCCTGAATACACATAAAGTCCTTGGAAAAAGACTTCTACAATTTGCACGGCATCTGGAACTTCAGCATCAAAAGTGTTCTCAAACCTAATTATATTTTTCTTTCTTCCTCTTACCAACAGCATGATTCCAGGTAGAGATATGAAGCAGAGAACTGTCATTTTCACAACTGTTGTGATAGTCTGAAACCAAGTCACTACTTTCACTCCTTGAACATTTAGGATTCCCAAACACAGCAAAATGGCTAAAGCTAAACATTTCTTTGGCATCTCAGGAACCAAGCATCCAGAATAGAAAGGCTGGATAATGTATCCTGCTAGTAACAAGTTACGGGCAGCAATTCCTGCTGGGGTGTTAAACAGGTCAACCCAGAGAGATAAGAAAGCAATATAGGGTCCAATAGATTTTTTGACAATAATAGGGTGCCCCACTTCTAGGAAACGTGGTCCCCAGCTCTGCATTACTGAGAGCAGCAATCACAGATACCAAAGCACAAACAGCCCAGATGCTTAGGGAGACTCCCACATTGAGTGAGGAGTATTTTAACACTCCTTTAGGAGCAACAAATATTCCTGCACCTATAATCATACTAAATAAAACAATTGTTCCATGGAAATATCCTATTACCCGCTGAAGCTGAGTACTTTCTCCCTTCTTCATTTTCTTAAATCTAAAACTCAATTTTAAAATTCTTTCTTTGCTGTGTTTTAAAAGCTCAACTCAATCTTCTTGCACCCAAGCTCTTTTCCTTCCTCCCCTCTTTCTTACTCAAATATGTTTGTTATAGCCACCAACATAAAAAAAAAAAAAAAAAAAAAAAAAACTCATGAT